TTATTTTTCTAAATAAATTTGCTAACTAATTAATTTAGCTCAAACCCAAAAATATGATTTTCTTATTTCTAATTTTCAGTTCAAAGCCAACTTAATCAAATTAACCTAAGTTTTATCTAATTTTGTTATTCTACCGTATTGTCATTTCTACCGTTCTGGAGAAATCGAATTGAAATTTGACAACGCATCTTTTAATTATTTTGAGCTCTCTATCTTCCTCTTCTTGTGATTTTAACAATTATATCTTTGAAAAACTCAGCAAAAAGAGGTGCAAAAGACACATTAGATTGACTACATTATTTTGTAAGAGTTAAGATTGATCATTTCATTAGTTAAACTAATGTAATTTTGTAAATACTAAAAAATTTTAATTATAATACGGAACCTAGAAACCGAATTTAAACCAAACTCGAATGGTTCCATAATTAAATTTGGATACGATGGTTCCACTTACTAAATACCCGAAATTTTCGAGTCCGATTTGATTCTCATTCAAATCAAACCGAAACGAACCATGTCCAGTTCTATATAGTTATATTAAAAAAAAAAAGAGCAATTGGATGTGAATCTTAAATGAATTTTAAAAATAAATGGAAAAATGTCAAAGTTTTGACTTCACTAAATATAATGCATTACACTCGACGGATGTCAACATATGAACTTTACATGGCATGAGAAAATGTCAACGTGTCATAGTGATTTTATGAAGCATGCCTAGAAAAAAGCACCAAATCAATGAACTTGAACCAATTGCTTGAATTTATATTCAACAACACACATTTGGAAATGACCTCACATCAAGGTCTTACATCATAGGTTAAAGCTCACACTAACACACATTATAACAAAGTGTGAAACCACGCTAAATTATGTAAAAGTCTAACACGACACTAGATATCCAAACCTGCAAAATGGTTAAAGGAGAAAAATAGTTACATGCATAAATGAAGACATGACAACTTTACCACTCTTAATTCTTTGATGTTGGACCTTTTTCCAAGTTGATGTCTAGGCCGATTTTTTAAACTAATATTTACGAGTATCATGATATATATGTGACAATTTTCTTATGTACATTAATTAAGGAATTGTCGAAATAATGTTTCCGAATTTGTGTTGCTACTTGAACAGACTTCAATTCGCCAACAAACAATCATAAGCATTATCAATGGAATAAACTGAACAAAAGGTATAAAATTGTTTTTAAATTACTTGCTAATCACATGGGGGAACTATGTATTGTTATATGATGATGCTGATGAAGGCATTGAAAATACCAATTCTTATTTTGTGATAAGAGAGTAAATATTGACGCAATGATTATCATGTAAGGCACGAACTATTATTTAACACTCAGCCCTTGTCTGAGGCTTATTTTTGCATCCCCAAATTCATATACAACCATACATTCTTTTAATAAAATTAATTTTACATGCCAGTTCAAAAGAAATTCTATTTTTAACTATATATACTTTAAAAAAGAAAAAAATTATTTTTTTAAAATTCTATTTTTAACTATATATACTTTAAAAAAGAAAAAAATTATTTTTTTACAAAACTTATTCGGAAAAATGAGGTTCAAACGAGAACTTAAAAATGAAATGGGAATTACAAAGCTTTTTGTCTGAGGCTTATTTTTGCATCCCCAAATTCATATACAACCATACATTCTTTTAATAAAATTAATTTTACATGCCAGTTCAAAAAAAATTCTATTTTTAACTATATATACTTTAAAAAAGAAAAAAATTATTTTTTTACAAAACTTATTCGGAAAAATGAGGTTCAAACGAGAACTTAAAAATGAAATGGGAATTACAAAGCTTTAGCCACAAAATCCACCAATCAGTGTTCTTAACTCTATCCGACTATTAAAGTGCTCTACAAGGATTTGTCTCGTGAACACATTTGACAATAGCTTCATTTTTAAAGGGATTTGACTTGATATAAATGGGAACATAAACCTAAAAGTTCAAATTCGGAAATTTGCAAATTATTGTAGTAACTGGGGCCAAAGATCATTTAATTGAACATCTTATTTCCAATGACTATAATTATCAAAGAAATAAGGTGTGGTTGTAGATACGCACGTAAATGGTGATCTTCTTCCGTCAGAAAAAAAAAATAAAAATAAGTAAAAATGAATAGAAGTCAAATCTTCTGGATTAACATTACTTTCTAGCTAAAGTCAGCTGTCGTGGACATCTTCTCGCTGAGTTATTACTTATTTTTTAAAAAGTTATTTTTGTTATTATGAGAGGGGAAAATGTTATTTTTGTTATTAAGAAATTTATTTATTTTTTCAACCTATTATTAGAAAAGAAACTTAAAAGCACAGCCTAGCTTGTTCTGTATCTTTGAATTATAACCTGAATTTGGATAATTGCCGACTTTTTAGCATTGTCATTATCCTTTGAGACAAATGGAGTTTAAATTGTGAAATTATTGGAAACATAATCACAACCCATCTAGAAATTTTAAAAATAAGTAAAAATGAATAGAAGTCAAATCTTCTGGATTAACATTACTTTCTAGCTAAAGTCAGCTGTCGTGGACATCTTCTCGCTGAGTTATTACTTATTTTTTAAAAAGTTATTTTTGTTATTATAAGAGGGGAAAATGTTATTTTTGTTATTAAGAAATTTATTTATTTTTCAACCTATTATTAGAAAAGAAACTTAAAAGTACAGCCTAGCTTGTTCTGTATATTTGAATTATAACCTGAATTTGGATAATTGCCGACTTCTTAGCATTGTCATTATCCTTTGAGACAAATGGAGTTTAAATTGTGAAATTATTGGAAACATAATCACAACCCATCTAGAAATTTTTGGTACAGGATGTATGATAGATAATAAATCCTAGTTGACAAAAGCCACTGTGACAGACCCCTAACCCACGGGTTTGTCACCCAAGAATAGCTCATTCTAGTTCAATCAATGCCATGAACAACTCTAAAAAATAATATATCCATTGTTGTGGTTGCTACTATTACTGCATTATAATATTTACACCAAAAAATAAATAATCTAAAAAATATGCATCAATTATTGTGTTCAATGTGGTTCTATCATTGATATATAAAAGTCAACATAATTTAAATAATTTTAAAAAATAACGTAAATAGTCGAAGATTATCTTCTACAGAGCAAGTAATTCACGTTTTGAATTTTAAGACACGTGAAACCATACATTTAGTTTGTGATACGCATTTGACATGTCCTTGTAAGTCAATTATATTTGAAACAGAGCGAATTTTGTAGATTCAAATTGAGCACTTCTTTAATCGTGTTTATCTCCTCCCAAGTTGAACTTTCGAGTCCTTGAAGCTTACAACCTTTTCCTTTTTATGGGAAGAATTAGCAAATTAAAGAAAACAACAAAAAGTATGCATATAAATAGACTTAACGCTACCCAAAAAGGGCAATATTACAGCATTGGCATCTTTTATTCACCACTCTAAAGCAGGTAAAAGCACTCGTCAACTAATAAAACAAAGATTAAGATCACAATTTGATTGGAAAAGCCTTGAGTGGTATGGCCTTGTGTAGAGTAGTTGTGAATTTCTCGCTCATATCAATTTCTTCTGGTTTTAGTCCCTCTTCAAGTCTCCAATCAAAGTTGTGTATCAAAGTGGCCAACATGACATGAACTACCCGGTGCGCCAAAGGCAATCCCGGGCATATTCTCCTCCCTGCACCAAAGGGAATGAACTTGAAATCTTGCCCGTTGAAATCAATTTTGTTATCTAAAAATCTTTCTGGCATAAACAAATCTGGATTGGACCAAATGTCTGAATCTCTACTGCTTGCCCATATATTAACTAGTATTTGAGCGTTTTTGGGGACTATGTAACCATTGACTTCTACATCGGCCATAGCTTTATGAGGTACTAATAAGGGTCCGACGGGGTGAAGCCTATGTATTTCTTTCACCACGGCCTGTAAGTAAGGGAGCTTTGAAATATCTAGTTCTTGAATCACACCATGCTCTCCAATCACATCACTAAGCTCGTTTTTAGCTCTGGACATCTTCTCCGGGTTGCGGAGTAATTCAGTCATTGCCCATTCAACAGTAGCTGGAACCGTATCCGTGCTACCAAGAAATAAGTCCTACAAAATACAAAGCCAAGTAAAGGAGAAAATTTAAGTATTTCTTCTTAGATTTCTAGAGCAATAAAATTAAGTACTGTCTATACCGTTAGTAGATGCTTTATATCTTTTCGGGTTAATTCTGGCTCAGGCTTTTTGTAGAGATCAAGAAGGGCTTCCAGTAAATCATTTTTCTCTAATGCACCTCTTGATTTCAATCGTTGATCTATTATACTTTCCAGAATTGCATATAATTTTCCAAAATAAAACTTGGTTCTGCGTGAGATGCCTTGTGGATCAACATATTTAAGAACTGGAAAGTAATCTGCAAGATTAGGGCTCCCAATACATTTCATTACATTCCACACAACATCCTTAAACTCTTGAGAGGAATCAGAATTGAAGTCAGCAAAATCAACTGAGAAAAGAGTGGACGATATCATGTTAAGTGAGGTCGTAAACGTAGACTCAGCTATATTTACTTCATGACCATTAACACAACATTGATTCACATAGTCGCATAGTTTCTGCAATTTTTCTCGTCGGATGCCCTGGCTTGCGTCAAGCCTTTGCAGTGAAAACATCTGTTCTTTCAATATTTTGCGAAGTTTGCGCCATTGACTATCAACTGGCAACCACGGCATAGAAAATTTGTCATGCTCAAGGGATTCAAGGGTCACGGGGACAGTTCTGCCACAGAAGAATTGATCATATTTTTGTAGGACAGTTTTAGCTATTTCTGGTGATGAAACGACTATTGTTTCCCGAGAACCCATTCTAAGATACATAAGAGGTCCATAGGTTTGGGAAAGTTTGGCCAGTGACTGGTGGGGGTTTTCGCCGAGTTGTAGAATATTCCCGATGATCGGAAAAGGATAAGGCCCTGGAGGAAGCTTGGCGGATTTCCGATGTTTTGAATTTGATGTTAGGAAAAAAGTGCATGTGCATATGATAGAAAATAGAACGAGCAGTAACGAGAGGAACTCCATAGGTTTTTACTTTCTTGGCGTATTGACTCTTACAATTTTATAGTGGAAAAGTGATGGCACTCGTTGTAATATTGGACAATTTTATTAAATGTGTCATTTTCTTAGGTGGCTGAAAAGTCATGCGGTGATGTAAGAAAACATCCGGGGCACATTAGGTAAAGTGTCAAACATCCGACCAGCAATCAGGCTGTGCTGCCAGGACACCCACCCGCACTCACAATGGGGTACTTTTTTTGACATTTTTTTATCGCATGTGAATATGTGTCAATCAAAGTGTCAAATATTTTTTGAGGAAAGAGCATTAATCTCCAGCCTAAGGGAGTTCTTCAATTGTGTCGGATCGTTATAGATCACTCTTTGATCTATGATGACCTAGTTAACCATACATAAATTGAAGAATATTTTTGGACGGTATTACCATCACTAATATTTATAATTCATTATTCACTCTTCAATTAATATCATAAATTAAAAAAGACTATAGAGTACTTGCTTATATGGTCATTTATTTTGTTACGAATGTGATTTTTACGATTATATTTGATTCGTTCATTGTTGATGAGTATAAATTTTCCATTGATGTGAACTTATGCGTGTGTTTGACTATTTTGACTATTTTATTTATAGTTTATGTGGTTATATTAAAAAACAGCAATAAGATGTGAATCTTAAATAAATTTTAAGAAAAAAAGGGGAAAATGTCAAAGTTTTGACATCACTAAATATAATGCATTACACTAGAAAGATGTCGACGTATAAACTTCACATAGCATCAAAAAAAGTCAATGTATCACGATGATTTGATGAAGCATTCCTAGGAAAAAGCTCCAAAGTCAATGAACTTGAACCAATTGCTTGAACTTAGCCGTTTGATTTCCATTTTTTTTTAAATACATTTTTCTCTTTTTTTTCCCTTCAATCACACATTCTTTATTAAAATAATATTTCACATAAATTTTAAAAAAATTTATTTTACAACTACACATTTTCCATCAATATATTATTATAAAATATATTTATCATAAAAATGGGGCTCAAACACCCTCTTAATGTATAAATGAAGACATGACAACTTTACCACTCTCGCTTCTTTGACTTTTTACTTTTTCAAGTTGATGTCTAGGTTGATTTTTTAAATTGATATTGAAGAATTCAATAAACTAAAAAAGAACACAAAGAATTACGTGATTCGACGTCAATATAACAACCTACATCCATGGGAGAAGAGAGAGCTTGTATATTATTCACTTATGTTTGGAACTCACAATGAAACATATATAGTCGCATTACATCAATGTTGCCTTATTAAGAATGAGTCAAACAAGAGAAAATAACGAATTATGAAAATCTTCCAAATCGTGATTGCATTATAATATTCTCCAATATTAGCAAATCCTTCAAATATCATCAAATATCCTTCAAATATCTCTCTTCTCCAACAGATATTTATGTGTATCATGATATATAATTTTGTTGTGTACATTAATTAAGGAATTGTCGAAGTAATGTTTCCGAATTTGTGTTGGTACTTGAACAGACTTCAATTAGCTAACTAATAATCATAAGCATTAAAGGGTATAAATTGTTTTTAAATCACTTGCTAATCACATAACAAGTCATGTAGTGAGGTAAGAAAACATATGGGCACGTTAGGTAAAGCTTAAATTTTATTTAAGTTAATCGAACTCACTTTCTATCCATACATTTTATAGAACTCAATTTATCATTCACTTATTATGTACACATTCCATAAAATATATTGGTTATAAACACTTAATAACATTCTTGATCGTGCTCTTAAATTGATTAAGCGCCACATACGTTCCATGAAGACCACTGAACCCACATCGCCATCGAGTGAGAGCGCCTAGCCCACAACCAGGGACAGAACTAAAACCAAATCTTAGGATTAGTTAAAGTGGAAATTACATGGGCCCCTACTTTAAAGATTGCATCTCAAAAATCAAAATTATCGTTTATACATACAAAAATAAGATGATAATACAATATTTTAATGTTAAATAATAATATTTTAAAATTCAATTAATTATTTACCCAAATCCCAAACTCTAATATTCATTTTTCCTCCTCCTCAATCCATTCTCTCTCCACTCTACTCTACCTCATCGTCACTGCCAAATGCCTAGACGTCGGAGCATTATTGCACGAGGCCATGCACCATTGTTGGTGAGGCTTCTCTATGCAACGTCTTATGCAGAAGTCGATCGAAGAGGCTTCTCTACTGCAGCATCGCCCGCAGGGACGATGATGCCACTGCATAGAGAAGTCACGCGCCGAGGCACCTCGCGCAGTGAATGGCGGCGGCGGTGGTTTATATGTTTAGGCTATGGTTTTTGTTAGTAGAGATGGTGGTGTATCTAGCGGTGAATGTGGGTTTTATTGGATCAACAGTAGATCTAGCGAGGTAGATCTGACGATGGTGTTGTTTGATCTGGTAGTGGTAGTAGCTTTGTTAGATATGGAGACGTGGTGATTTTGTTAGGCCGGCGGATACGGTGGTTTTTGTTGATGTAGGCTAGTGGTGGTGGTGCAAAAGGCAGCGTGTCGTGGTGTAACCGAATCGTGACCAAAAAAGTAGTTAATTTCTAACCAGTAAATAATATATGACCAAAAAAAGTGGTTTTGACTCATAATTTACTAAGTTGTGATCAAGAAATTATTTGTGATCAATTCATTTGATAATTTGTGACCATTAAATAAGTTATACATTATAAAATTTGTGATTTTTTGAATGATGAATAAATTGTGACCTATAAAATTATTGATCTGCGATCAAAAATAATTTGTGACTTATAAATTTTTTTTATTTACAATAGAAAAATAATTTGTGATCTATAAAAATTTTTATCTATGACCCAAAAACAATTTGTAACCAATTAATTCGATAATTTGTGATTTTTATAAAAGTGAAGAAAAGATAACAGAACAGAGAAAAGTTAATAGACTTGTGTATTTTATTAAAAATCAAAGCCCTGTATTTATAGGGCAGAATTAGGGATACAATAGTAATTATTTTTAGGACTGCAGGGGTATAATTGTCATTCACATCTAAACCCTAATAATCTTTCCTTTTACAACACTCCTCCTTGAATGACACATTATAAAATATATGCCTCGTTAAAACCTTGTTTGATAAAAATCCAATGGAAAAAAAATCAAATGAAGGAAAAAGAGTACAGTTATTTTGGAGTATTAAAAATAAATGTTGCCTCATTAAAACTTTGCTAAGAAAATCCAATGGGACAAAACCTAAGCTAAGGAAAAAGAATACAGCTACTCCCCCTGATGTTGATCACTGAAAATCTTTAAGTCGACGCATTCCAATTTCATGAACTAATTTCTTGAATGTAGATGTTGGCAGTGCTTTTGTGAATAAATCGACCACATTGTCACTTGAGCGAATTTGTTAGATATTGATATCGCCATTCTTTTGAAACTCATGTGTATAAAAGAATTTTGGAGAAATATGTTTCGTTCTATCACTTTTAATATAGCCACATTTGAGTTGTACAATACAAGTTACATTGTCTTCATACAAAATTGTTAGACTATCATTTGTTGAAATTAATTCGCATGATGCTTGGATATGATGAGTCATGTTACTCAACCATACACATTCTCGGCCTGCTTCATGGATTGCAATAATTTCAGAATAATTTGAAGATGTAGCTATCAAAGATTGCTTCACATATCTCCATGATATAGCCGTTCTTCCACGTGTAAACACATAACTTGTTTGTGATTTAGCTTTATGTGGGTCAGATAGATAACATGCATCTGCATATCCCACTAAAGCAAATCCCGACTTTTGAGAATAAAATAATCCCAAATTAATAGTATCCTTTAGGTAACTAAAAATATGTTTAACACCATTCCAACGTCTTTGAGTTGGTGTAGAATTATATCTAGCAAGGAGATTTACAGAAAAAGTTATGTCAGGTCGAGTGCAATTGACAAGATAAGTTAATGCTCAAATTGCACTAAGATATGGTATTTCAAGACCAAGAACTTTTTCTCAATCTTCAAGTGGACGAAATTGATCTTTTTTTATATCAAGTGATCAAACAATCATAGGTGATGCCAAGAGATGTGCATTATCCATGTAATAACGTTTTAAAATTTTTTATGTATACGTAAATTGGTGAACAAATAATCCATCTGCAAAATGTTCAATCTGCAATCCAAGAGAAAATTTGGTTTTTCCCAAATCCTTGATCTCAAATTCATTTTTCAAATAATTAGCAGTTTTGTTGAGCTCTTCAGGAGTTCCAATTAAATCTAAATCATCAATATAAACTGTCACAATTGCAAATTCACTATTTGTTTTCTTTATGAAAACACATGGGCTGATATCGTTATTTTTATAACCCTCATTCAACAAATATTCGCTAAGGTGATTATACCACATGCGTCCAGATTATTTTAATCCATATAATGATCTTTGCAATTTAATTGAGAACATAGTTCTCAACCATGTATCGTTTGTTCCTGGTATCTTAAGTCCTTCGGGGACTTTCATAAATATGTCACTATCAAGTGAATCATACAAATATGTAGTTACTACATCCATAAAGCGCATATGAGGCTTTTGTGATACGGTCAAACTAATTAAGAATCTAAAAGTGATGGTGTCCATTACGGAAGAATATATTTCCTCATAATCAATTCTTGGTTTTTGTGAGAAACCTTGAGCTACTAGTCGGGCTTTGTACCATGTGATTTCATTATTTTCATTTCTCTTTCATACAAAGACTCATTTGTATCCAACAGGGATTACATTTTCAGGTGTTCGAACTACAGGTCCAAACACTTTTCATTTCTCCAAAGAATATAATTTCGCCTATATGATTTCTCTCCATTTTGGCTAATCATTTCTATTTTGACAGTCTTTAACCGACTGTGGTTCAGGATCCTTGTTCGTGAAATATTTCTTTCGATTTAAATTACCGCAAGTGTACGGGTCGTGACAAGTAATAAAATGGACTTTA